TATCTTATCCAGAAAGCTTTCAACTTTGTTTTGTTCTCATGGGTATACCTATTTTAGCCGTGGAACACCGTTTTTGGTTTTGCAAGAGTTCTTAAAGAATTGAGCCCAATCGATTTTCCTTTGAAGTGGCTCCACTTATTTCTCATGTACGTGATTCTTTTCCGAGTATCCCGCATACTACACTTATGTCAAACCATCAAATCATTAAGCATGCTAGCCTTGTGCAAGAGTCAATGTTCACCGAGGAGTGGCTCGGATAGTTGCCCAAAACCCCACAATGACGCGTTTCATTCCATAATTTAATTATCGCCCCATAGAACCTAAGTGCCAACTAGGCTGGGTATCCACTATAAAACTTTTAGTCCAAGGGTTTTAGTCTCATTCCTTGTTTCAACTTCTTAATCAACTCTCTATTTAACCCTTTTATTAACAAACCCACTATGTTATCTTTTGACTTTACATAGTCAACTGAGGCAACACCAGTACAGTTGTGAGAAGTTGTTTAATAGTATTATGTCTATAACATGTATGTCTAAATTTACCATTATAAATGTTACTCTGTGTCCTACCAATTGTGGCTTAATTATATTATCACAATGCACACAAATTGGAGCTGAGATACAATTTTTCTCAGCTAAAAATATCTTCGACAAAACGACGTAGTGCATATTAATTATATGCATAAAAGATAATGAATGATGATGATGTGGTTCATTTCATAGATATTACAAACTTTGAAATTGATCCGCATTTTTTTTCCTTATCTTTTTTTAATTTCCAATTGTTAGATCTACTAGATTGATGGTTAGAATTTGTCAGCACTTCTCACGGGAAGCCTTGTTCTCATGGGGGTTAGGTATCGCGCACACACACACATAGTGGTAGGTTCAAATAAGAACAACACCCTATAAAATGTGAGGACAACTAATCTTAGTAGCTTATCAGGGTTCATCAACAGTCAAGAGTTTTAGTATATATATATAAAAACGCGAGGTCAAATTTATAATTATAGCAAACTTTCAAGTTTGTAATATTTTAAAAACTAGCCCCGTCTTTTTTCCTCTTATTTTATAATTATAGCAAATTACAGTATGTATAGCTTTCGATTTGTAGATCGAATGGAAGAGTTACTAGTTGTCTAGTATATTTAAGTTTTTTTTTTCACTTATTGAAAAAGATAACATATATTGTGACTATCAAGACTCGATTATATATCATTACTTAAATTCTACCACTCAAGAATCTACTAAACTGCTTATGCAACTATGCAAGCATATAAGCTTTTACAACTATTGGAGGTTTAACAACACCGTAATAATATGAAAATGAAATTGAGTTTTTTTTTTAAAAAAAAAATTCTTCAATTTGATTATATTCTTAAATTTATCTTTGATTTTGATTTGTGTTCCTTTTAATTTTAATGTTTTAAAAAATTCCATCTGTTTTCAACATGTAGTATAAAATTATTGGAAGGCATTAAATAACTTGCCGTCTTAGCTCAGTGGTAGAGCGCGTGGCTTTTAACCACGTGGTCGTGGGTTCGATCCCCACAGACGGCGGTTTTGTTATATTCAAATGGAAACACTGAAAATTGCTATGCCTGTCAAAATATTAGAAAAAAATTCCATCGCCTCATCGTGAACGTTTTATTATCGTCTATCGACGGTATTCATGTGAGTGATTTTGTTCTTTTTTGTCACAATCCTAGAAAAATTAAAAATAATTCTAGTTTTTTTTTTTTTTTTTTTTTTTTTTTTTGTGTTTAAAGACCACGAGATGTCCTAAGCAGGCTCTGCATATATCATAGTAATTCTCATTCGCACCATGCCAGCCCAATTAAGGGGTAAAGTGTTGGACAGATGATTTTTACATACAACCGACCACTCACGCCAACCAACAGTCATTATACTATGGACCGCGGTGCACGTGCACCGCGGTCAAAACGGCACCGTTTCTTTGAGTAAAGAAACGGCGCGCCGTTAGTATTAACGGAGCGCGCATTTGTTTGTATGTTAATTACCAACTGATACTACAGTATATCTGAACCGACACTGCCTCACATATTATTTTTATAATATCAAATGAACCTGCAGTAATATCAAAATGATACTGTAGTTATGGTGATGAAATGAAATTGCAGTGTATATAAAATGAAACTTAATAACATTTCACATATTTGAGTGTATATTATTGTACAATGAAGTTGTAATTATATCAAAATGATCATGTAGTTGTGTTTTAATAAACTATAGTGTATATAAAATAAAACTAAATAACATTTTCACATATTTGAGTCTATAAATATCGAATGAAACTGTAATTGTGTTGAACTGAAACTGTAGTTGTGTTGAACACTTGAACTGAAACTGCAGTGTATACAAAATGAAACTGAATAACAGAGTTACTTTTTGCGGAAGGATGCAGAACGGCGGGAAACAGATACGGTTTCTTTTCATTAAACAAAACAACATCATTTTGATGCGCAGTGCATAATCGATTATGCACCGCGGTGCACAATATAATTTGCCCCTGGTTAATAATTTTAATTTTATAATCAGTATTAATGATGCTTCTTTTAAAATTTTATTATTATTATTATTATTATTATTATTATTATTATTATTATTATTATTATTGTTGTTGTTGTTGTTGTTGTTGTTGTTGTTGTTGTTGTTATTGTTGTTATTATTATTATTGTTATTATTATTATTGCTATTATTATTATTATTATTATTATTATTATTGTTATTATTATTATTATTATTATTATTATTATTATTATTATTATTATTATTATTATTATTATTATTATTTCACACGAACATCTCACTGTCGCCCCATCGTAACTGTTCTTATGCCGGTCAAAATATTAAAAAATTTCTAATTTTTTAATCTGTATTAATGATACTTCTTTAAAAAATGATTACATTATTATTACTTATGGATTTAATTAACTTGGGTGATCCGAATTATTAAATCCGATAATTAAAGGATAATGTGAATGGATGATAGGCAAAACAAGTGTTGTTACGGAGACCAAATATTGTATTAATTGATGGTTGCAAAGCTACTACAAAGGATGTGTAATGCACTAATGCTATTACAATAGTAGATTAGGACACTGATAGTGAATATCTCTCAACAAGACAATTACAAAGCCTTTTATACACAAGAAATCTCATAACCGCCCTCCTAGCATGGTGGGACGGTTACAACCTCCCGCTTTGACCGTGCCCGGTCCCGAAACTATGCCTATGGGCATGGCCGATCGAGGCCCCTGGCCGAGGCCTCACCTCAGGTGGTCCGAGTCAAGCACAGGGCTCAACCTCAGGGCCCCAAGTCCGCCTTAAACCTCATTGCTCTGTCTTTCCGTGTCGATTTGCTCCATTTCAAATATATCCATCAATTACCTTTCTTGCTTCTTTCACAAGAACATTGTCGCCCCATCGTAATTGCTCCATTGTGAGTTCTCTATTCTTACAGGTGGAAACAGGACTACTGCCTTAAGCGTGCACAACCCCAATTGGGATTTCAAGCCCAACGAGTAGTAACTAGCCCTAGTAACCCAAGATATTTTCTACTAGGCTACCCTTCAAATAAAGTATCTAGGATGTTTTCTACCAGATACAATTCACAAAATAGGGTCGGAACCCACAATAACATATCCTCCAAAAATAATAAATTTTTATATAACCGCAAAAAATAATACATTTTTATCAATCATATACTCTCAAAATAATATATGTATATTTCAATATTCATTGCCCTTATTAGGCTATCAAAATATCATTTCTCAAATATAACTCTATATCATTACCATAAATCACATATTTTCTCAAAGATAAGTTTCCAAAATATACCCATTTTCAAAATAGTAGTTTTCTCAATCATACCGCTTCCAACTCATATAACATTTACATAACAAGTATCAAGAAACACCCTCAAGAATACTTAAAATACTTTCCAAAAGTGTTTTTCCAAAACCATAGCACAAAACATCTCAAAATACTGCCAAACAAACTTTTAACTCACGGGTCAAGGACCCGTGAAGAAGGTCCGTGACCAGGGCTTGTGATGAGACTCTCTGGTCCTGCCACCAAGTCCTGTAGCCTCACGGGTTTGTGTGGCGAGACTAGGGATCTCGCCACGACACCACATGAACCCGTGGTCACCACGGGCTTGCGTGGCGGGACTGGAAAGCCTGCCACACTGGCCCGTGGCCCTCTCGCGGGGCTAGGCTACCGGTCTCCCAAACCCGTGAGCATAACATTAGACCTACAGATGTCATCTTCTCTGATGAATCTCCGACCAAAACACATCTCAAAAATCCTCCAAACACAACACAAAACACATTTCCTTCCTCAAACAACTCATACATATGTATACATAGATTTGTAAACCAAATATCAACACATATGCTGCTATCTTCCAATATTTTCAAACCAAAACAGTTTATAAAACTTTAAGATCAAACACAACAGATAGCAGACAATGACTAGGGCAAAAATGAATTATGCAAAGTTTAGGAAATGAATTCTTCGAAAAGGGGTGGGATTTTGTTTCCGCAAGGCTTGAGAAAAAATAGCATGATTAGACTATTTTACTCTTATTTGAGTTTCTTTTTTATTTATTGATCTTTTTAAAAGCATATTGATCTATATATTCATTATTCCTTACTTTTCTAAACCTAACCAAACAATAGAATCCATATTTCCAGGTAATTTCTTTCCCACCAAACAAACAATAGAATTCATTTTCCCCAAATTTATTTATCATAGAATTTCAATTCCATTTCTCTCCAAATATTTGTCATCGAACCAAACGGACATGAAACATGTATACATGCATACATTTACTTTGGGGTAATGGAATGGGCGGGAACACGTACTTGTCGGCAATGGCAATATATATCCGTCCATTTCATATTTTCCCAACTTGCCCATCCACCATCTATGACCATCTTTAAATTCAACGTAACCCCTCCGGCGCCCTTATTGTCTTATCCAATTTTACAATCTCCCCATGCACCGCCCCTAATCTTCATCTCCCTCTCCCTCTCCCTCTTCGTCTCTCTGCTGGATAATATAATGTTATGCAGAGAAGAGGAGAGGAGAGAAGAGAAGATTATCATGATCCAGATCATTAGTAAAGGATTTACGTTATAATTATGTATATACGTGAATCTATATCTATATGTGCTTACAAACTGAATAATTAAGGGCGGAAAATTTGATCTGATTATTATTGATGGAAGACCCTGGGGGGACGCATGATAAATGCTTAGTGAAGACGAAGGTTCATTCTACGGGACTATGGGGCAGAGACATCGACGGCATGGACTATCGGTTTGTTACTTACAGTCTACCTCGTTTGTTCCTGCAATTGTGCATCATGTTTGGTCTCACTCAAGCCCTCCATTTGTTCTTCCTCAAGCGCTTCCGTCTGCCCCGCATTATCTCTGAACTTTTGGTATTCTATTCTCATTTAATGTACTTATTCTCATCTGAATTACAATTGTTATACCATGAACCAGGGTTCAGTTAAGAATGTGAACCCTAATTTTAAAATTATGTGTTTCCCGTTAATACATTCTGTATGATGCAAAGGCATCGCTAGTATTTCACGGTCCTTGCAAAGCAATACTGCCTTGGCCCGCCATCGATTGCCCGAGCTCTCGAATTCGGTCCACCTTGAGGGCACGGGCCTCGAGCTCAAATATGTCCCTTTTGACGCGTTTTGTACAACTGAAACTGTCGCCTTGACTTAACGATTATGCTCGTATCTCCTTGCTCCTCGGAGCAGGGGACGGTGGCATATCGGTTTTTGTACCTATAAACAAATTGAAAACACATAACATATAATTACAGACGCATAATATGATAACTACAAGACACATGAATTGTTAGCTACATGTACAAAATATATATGTTAACTGCAACACATAAGATTGACGTTGGTTAACATGTGATGTGTTTGCAGTTAACATATATATATTTTGTACTTGCCGTAATAATTGATGTCTGTAGTTGTAATTACTATGTTATTTGCATTCAATTCAATTTGTTTAGGGGTACAAAAACTTTTAACTGCATGTACATTATGTGTCATCAACCGTATGTAATCTGAATGTTATTTTTGGACCAGGATCGTCCAATGTAAGGCAGACCTTGATCCACCGATATAATTTCCCTCTATTAAAATCCTTTTATATATGTTGGTTGACTATGTACAGGCGGGTATCATCTTGGGGCCGACACTGATTGGACGGTTTGATTGGATAAAGACCAACATGATTCCGATGTACGAAGGACAATACGTTGATCTGTTGTCGAAAATTGGTTTCTTGTTGTTCATATTCCTTAGTGGAGTGAAGATGGATCCAGGAATGGTTCCCAGAAGCGGCGCCAAAGCATGGACCATAGGGATCCCTTCTGTCTTGCTCCCCTATGTTATCCTCAAGTATTTAAGCCGAAAGGTGTTGAACGATCACGTATGGACACACATTCATAGGTACAGACACCCCGCCATCCAGAACACCTTGGGCATTCAAAGTTTCTACTCTTTTCCGGTCACCGCCGTTCTTCTCGTCGATTTAAAGATCATCAACACAGAACTGGGCAGGTTGGCTTTGGCGACGGGGTTAATCTGTGATTTGTTTAGCAATTTAGTGTCCACTATTATAGCTAATATAAGCGTTGGGGTAATGTCCGCTATGCCGCTGGTTTCCGTCCATTCTTTCGCGCTTTCTTCCGGGCTGATTTTGTTTTTGGTGGTCACCGTCCGGCCGCTGTCGGCGATGATAATCAGGCGGACGCCGGAGGGGGAGGCGGTGGACACGTTCCACGTGTTGTTCATGTGTTTCGCGGCGCTGTTGGCGACGGTGCTGGCGGATAACGTGGGGATGAATTTTCACTACGGGCCGTTTATTCTGGGGCTGCTGGTGCCGGACGGGCCGCCGTTGGGATCGGCGGTGGTGGACAAACTGGACACCCTTGTCTCCGGGCTGTTTGCGCCGCTGTTGGTGACTTATTCCGGCACCAAGATCGACCTGCTCAACCTGTTTGATCTCCGGTTTCTTGGGGTGGTATGGATTACCGTGATGGTTTGCTACGTGATTAAGTGCGTCGCCATTTTCCTCCCTGCATTGGCCTGCAGAGTTCCTCTGAGAGATGCCGCTGCTCTTGCCTTCATCTTGAGCACGCAAGGGGTCGTCCAAATCTCTTCCTATCACAACAGCCTCGTAAATCAGGTACTAATTAGCTTCTACGTTTAACTATCATATATTATACTTAACTCCAAATTTATGGAGTTAGTATCATCTAGGGTCTTTCTAGTATACTGATTTTGTCACTTTTAGTCCTAAACTTTCAAATTACCTCATGGTCCTTTGACTTTTAAATTGTTACAATCCGTAGTCTAAGTTAACGACTCATGGTCTTTCAACTTTCAAAATTTAAGTAGTCACGGTCCTCTTAGAAGGACTATGGGTGGTTAAAATTTTATAGTTGAAGGATCATGGTGGTTAACTTGGACCAGAGATGGTAACAATTTGAAAGTTGAAAGATCATTAATGGTAATTTAAAAGTTTAGGACTAAACATACCACTGTATTTGGAAGACTCTAGATGGCATTAACTCTGTTATTATTATATTTATTTATATCTTATCCATTGAATTGTTGTGGTGAAATGCAGACGTATGATACCGAAACCTTTTCCATGTTGACAGTGGCTGCATTGGTGACGGCAGCAGTGTCCCACATTATGGTGGCATCCTTACACGACTACTCCAGGGCATATTGTGGCTACGAAAGAAGAAACATCGAGCACCTCTCCAAAACCTCGGAGTTGAGATTGGTAACATGTTTTCATCGTCTAGAAGATGCGGTAGCCGCCAGGAAACTGCTAGAAGTTTCATTTTCCAGCAAAGAAACCCCTCTGGTCATCTACTCACTCCACCTAGCGGAGTTGGTCGGCCGCGTCACCCCCCTCTTGATTGACCACCAATTGGGCCAAATGAAGACCTCCGCCGCCGCCGCCGCCTCCCCCGCCGCCAATTCTCGATCGCAAAAATTGGTGGCGGTTCTTCGCTCCTTTGCGCAGCAGCACTGTAATGAGTTCGTCACCCTCAACTTCTTCACCGCGATATCACTCCCCAAGTTCATGCATGACGACGTTAGCGCTCTGGCCTTTGACAAGCTGGCGTCCATGATCATTCTCCCGTTTCACAGGAAATGGAACCATCTAGGCAGGTTAGTTGTGTAACGTTTTCCTTTTCTTATTTATAATTTAGTTATTCCCAAAAATTTCGTCTAGACACTGATTAATCAGTGCCTAACGTATTAACATAAATTGTGGTTTAGGGCGACGAGTCGGCTAGGTGACTGACTAGGCTGCCTAGACGTTGGCTATCTAGGCCTCCTAAGCACCAACTGGGTCGCTTAGGCACCTACTAGGCTGCCTAGTTAGCCGATTAGTTATTGTTTCATTCTTTTTAAATTTGTTATTTATACTTTATTTATAACTAGTGTTACAAAAATCTGGCTAAGACACTGATTAATCAGTGCCTAATGTATCAGCATAAATTATGGTTTAGGTGGCTGGCCGAATAGGTAGCCGACTAGGCCGCCTAGACGCTGACTGCCTAAGTCTCCTAAGCATCAACTGGGTTGCTCCCGACTAGGCTACTTAGTCAGCCGATAATATTTCACTCAAAACAATATTCTTTTGAACGAAATAACCCTACGTGATGACATGTTTATCTTACAGGTTGATCGTGGATAGCAGCAGCATGAGGCTTCTGAACAGGACTTTGTTGGACCTGGCCCCTTGCTCCGTGGGCATTCTGATAGACCGAGAAAAGAGACGGATGCACCGGCGGTCGCCGTCCTCGTCGTCCTACCACGTCGCCGTGATATTCATGGGAGGAGCCGATGACCGCGAGGCGTTGTGCTACGCCAAACGCATGTCCAACACACCCGGGGTTCAGTTGACGGTGGTGCGGTTCGTCCCGGCGGACCACAACGCGGAGAAGACGCAGTGGGATGCGGTGCTGGACTCGGAGGTGTTGAAGGAGGTGAGGCATCTGGCGCAAAGCAATGACACCAAAGTTTGTTACAAAGAGGAGACGGTGAAGGATGGGGCGGAGACGGCGTGTACGGTGCACGAGATGGAACACGTTTTTGACCTTATTCTTGTGGGTAGACGCCATGAAACTAATTTGCCTCAGCTTTTTGGGCTTTCCCAGTGGAACGACATACCCGAATTGGGGCCTCTTGGGGACATGCTTGCTATTCAGCATATCAGATCGCCTGTCTCGGTCTTGGTGGTGCAACAGCAATATGTGAAGAACAAATGAACAAGTTAATTAAGACGCCATTGAACAACGAAAAGGTCTTACAAAAGTGGGTAGAGTACGTGTAGCATCAACTTCTTGTTCAATTGGTTTGTCTCTTTTTGTAACAAGGAAAACATTTTTTTGATAAATGAAAGAGGACGGCCCATTGTTCTAACGAATTTACCTTGTTCTCATACTTTCTCTTGTTCAAATTATTTTTAAATATTTTTAATTTGTAGCTATTGTTAATGACTTTTATCATTAGGAATATTTGATGGATTGAGCCATAGTCCAGCAATCGTTATGCGTTGGACCTCTGTCCAGCATGCATGCTGGACACGGGTAACAGTGCCGTTAGACATTGTTATCTCCTTTTTTTTTTTTTTTTTTTTTTCTTTAAATTTCAGACCGCTTCGTTATAGGAGTATATGTTCATAATTTTATTACTATATGTTAATAACTGTACAGTCATAACTTCATAACTGTACGTTCATAACTCTATAACTGTACATTCATAACTCCATAACTGTACATTCATAACTCCATAATTGTACATTCATAATTTTCGAAGCTCTATGTTCACAATTTTAGAGCTCTATGTTCATAATTTTATCACTATATGTTCATAATTGTAAGTTCATAATGTCAGAGCTCTTTGTCCATAATTCGATCAATAACTGTACATTCATAATTCCATAACTGTAGATTCATAATCTCATAACTGTAGATTCATAACTCCATAACTGTAGATTCATAACTCTATAACTGTACATTCATAACTCCATAACTGTACATTCATAATCTTCGAAGCTCTATATTCACAATTTTAAAGCTCCATGGTCATAATTTTATCACTATATGTTCATAATTGTAAGTTCATAATGTTAGAGCTCTGTGTTCATAATTTCATAATTGCATAACTGTACATTCATAACGGCATAACTGTACATTCATAATAAATAATAAATAAAACAAAATAACGCCGTTAACGGCAAAACGCGCGCGATTTTTTTTTTTTTTTTTTTAACTAAATGACGCGTTTTTTTTTGAAAAACGACATCGTTTTGGGTTGTGGACACGGATCCAGGGCATAATTTGCCATAGTCCAGTGCAACAGAAGAGCTAACATTTATTTAAAATAATATAAAACATTGCTCAAGCACCACTAAACACTGCACAAATATATATTAGGATATGATAATGTAAAACCTTGATATTCATCAAGAATATGAGATTCATAATTATTGAACTCTATATTCACAATTATATTACAAAAGTCTATGTTTATAATTTTCAATGTTCATATTCTCAATTGTTGAACTCTGGATGAGCGTAACAAATTCAAGATTGATTGATTATCTCAGTTAGTTACAGCAATAGAAACCTATAGGAATAGGCAACTAGAAATACTCCTATACAATAGGCTATGCTAAGTCTACTCTAATTACAGCACTCATATACATACCATATAATATAACAATAATATTAACATTACTAACACACCCCTTCAAGCACAAGGTGGACAGGTGGTAACATTGAGCATGTCCCTGATAACTTGAAAACGGGGCGCCGGTAGTGGCTTCGTGAATATGTCAGCTAGCTGATCCTTTGTAGACACAAAATTAACAAGGAAGTCGCCAGAAGCTACCTTGTCGCGAACGAAGTGGAAATCAATCTCGACATGCTTCGTCCGTGCGTGGAAAACCGGATTAGCGGCGAGATACGTGGCACCCAGATTGTCACACCATAAGGTTGCCGGATTACCAGAATGCAACCCGAGCTCCTTGAGTAAAGAGACGACCCAAGTGACCTCGGCAGCTACGTCGGCAAGGCCCTTGTATTCAGCTTCAGTGGAAGATCGAGCTATTGTGCGTTGCTTGCGAGATAACCAGGAGACAAGATTGGAGCCCAAGTAGACCGCATACCCGCTGGTAGACTTCTTGTCAATCGTACACCTTGCTCAATCGGAGTCCGAATAGGCGTGAATGTCAGAAGAGGATGACGCGGACAAGCGTAAACCATAGTCTTGCGTTCCTTTAACATAGCGTAGCACACGTTTCAAGAGGCCCCAGTGGTCTTCGGTAGGAGAGTGCATAAATTGACACAGCCGATTCACGGCGTATGCAAGATCCGGTCGAGTGATAGTAAGATACTGGAGAGCACCAACCAGACGACGATACTGTGTCGGGTTATTAAACGGGTCAGTTGACGGTGTGGCGGACTGAGTAACTGCTGCTGGTGTGGCGAGGGGCTTCCAATCAGACATACCTGCACGAGCTAAAATATCACCCATGTAGCGTCGTTGAGAGAGTAATAAGCCTGTGTCGGTTTGAAGAGTTTCAATCCCCAAAGAGAAGCTCGGGACACTAAGATCTCGAATCTTGAAGGCAGTGGATAGGCGAAGGAGCAGACTGTTAATTAAAGTTGAATCGTTACGCATCATAATTATGTCGTCAATGTAAACCAGCAAAAACACCCTGGAATCCCCAGCGGTGTAGTGAAAAAGAGATACGTCAGTCTTGGACGCCAAGAACCCAGCTGCAATAAGAAACTCATGTAGCCGTTTAAACCAGGCTCGCGGGGCTTGTTTGAAACCGTACAGAGACCGCTGTAGATGGCAGACATGGTCCGGATGATTAGGGTCTTCATACCCTGGGGTTGCTTCATGAAGACAGTTTCGGACAGATGGCCATTGAGGAAAGCGTTGTGGACATCAAGTTATCGTAGGGTCTAGTACTTCGACACTACAAGAGAAAACAACATGCGTACTGTAGTCGGTTTGACTACAGGACTAAAGGTGTCAAATAAATCTTCGCCGGCCACCTGGCTGAACCCTTTGGCAACCAAACGCGCATTGTAGCGCTCTACCGACCCATCAGCCTTACGCTTGGTGCATTAAACCCATTTGCAACCAATTATATTCATATTTGGCTCGGGTGGTACAAGGTTCCACTTGCTATTATGAAACAGAGCATTGAACTCTTGATCCATGGCATCACGCCACTGGGGATGCCCTACGGCTTTAGAGTAGCAAGTCGGATCAACAGTTGTATTAAGGGCATAGAACTGTTCACCCATTCCTCGCGTTTTGCGGCGAGTGCGCATGACATGCCCGTGTTGCTGGTTTTGATTGAGTTCAGGTGCAGCCACGGGTTCGGGGGCCTCCAAGGCCAAGGGAAGCGTGACCTGGGCCAGTGGGAGTTCCTCGGACACTGGTGAGGCCGGAGTTTAGACCACAACGGGCCCCGATCCCCATGGCAGCGTGGGAGTCGTTTGCGGTGTAGATTCCTGCAAACAAGACTGTGTTGAAAATGGAAAGACCGATTCATCAAACCGAACATGGAGGCAGATAAAGATCTTTCCAGTGGTTAGGTCCATGCAACGATATCCCTTAAAAGAAACTGGGTAACCTAGGAATACACACGGTGCTGACCGAAACTCTATCTTGTGCTGATTATATGGCCTCAGATAGGGAAAACAGCGGCACCCGAAGACACGGAAGAATGTGTATGGGGGTACGGACTTGTGTATACGAGAGTGTGGACTATCAAATTTAATTGAGGCTGAAGGTAGACAATTTATTAAACTGGTTGCTGTTTCAAAGGCGTAATCCCAGTATTTAAGCTGGACTGAGCTTTCAGCAAGTAGTGCTAAACCAGTTTCGACAATGTGTCTATTCCGGCGCTCAACCCGACCATTTTGCTCATGTGTATAGGCACATGATTGACGGTGAGAGATTCCAAGAGACTCAAAAGTATTATGTAAGTAAAGATACTCACCCCCTAAATCAGACTGGATGTCTTTGATAGAACGCGAAAACCGACGTTCTACCATCACCCGAAATAAATCAAATGTTTTACATATGTCCGATTTTAGCCTTAAGGGATAAAACCAACAATAGCGAGAGTAATCGTCTACAAACAAAACGAAATACCGAAAGCCTGAAGCAGAAATAACAGGGGAAGGACCCCAAATGTCTGTAAACACTAAATCTAAAACATGTTCACTTGAACTGGAAATCCTATCTAAAGGAAATCTTGCCAACTTGCCGAGTTGACACGCAGCACAAACTTCTGACGAACTGGATTTATTTGTGACCGGACAATTTTTGAGAACACGATGTATAACTTGACGGTGCGGATGACCCAACCGCTGATGCCACACTTTGGACGACGCCCGGGCACTTATGAACGCAAAATGTGTCCGCGGGACCAATAATTGGAATAAGCCACCGGAGGTAGGCCCTTTAAGAAGAACCGCTTCGGTGATGCAATCCTTCACACAAAAATAATCTTTGTGAAATTCAAAATAAACATGATTATCAGACACGAACCGATGTACTGATAAAAGAGGTAGGGATAATTTCGGGACATGTAATATACTGGACAAACTTAAATTTTTAAACTCAGACTGGATAGTTGCATGTCCTACTCTAGAAAAATCCAAACCTGCACCGTTGCCAACATTCAGAACATCACCACCGGAGTAGACCTCGGAGTGATCCATTATCTGCACGTCAGGAGTTGCATGCGCGGTGGCTCCCGTATCGGGATACCAAGCATCCACGCCCGCCGATGGAGTTGCATCGGCCGACATAGCAGCGTTCGCTTGCGGTGAGTGATATGCATACCGGCAGTTACAATGGACTGTTGTGTGCCCGTGCGCCGTGCAAATCTGGAAACGGGGACCTCCTCCGGGACCACGACCATTTCCCTGACCGCCCCTACCGCGATTATTTCTGCCACGGCCTTGGCCGAAGGTCCGGCCTCTATGATTCTGATCAGCGCCATGTTTCTGTCCACGACCGGCGAACAACGCCAATGGAGTACCTGCAGAGTCAGGAGTCGGGAATTCATCAGAGTAGATGAATTCCTGCGCTTGAAGCAGATCGAAAAGCTGAGGGAGCGTGACAGGCGTCCCGGAAGCCGTGAGTGCAGCGGAGAGAGCCCGGAACTCCGGGCGAAGTTCCCGGAGAACATAAAGAACCTATTCGTCAAGAGAGAGAGTGTGACCGGCGAGAGACAAAGACTCCACTATCAACTGCGCATGCCCCAAGTATTCGGCTGGTGAGCTGCTTCCCTGCCGGAGTGCTTGGAACTGCCCCAATAGATTGAGACAACGGGCACGGGTAGAGGAGCCCAGTGCGGTGGTGATCGATAGCCAGGCGTCACGGGCGGTGGTGCGGCCTACGGCG